CTGATCTGTAACTCACTATGTAGCCCAGGCTGGTCTCCAACTCACAGCGAACTTCCTGCCTCAGTATCCTGAGTGCTGGGATTACAGGCGTGTGCCACCACGCCTGGCCTAGGTTAAATTTCATTAATTTAGTTTCACTTCAGTTTCTTTATCTGTAAAAATGAGGAAAATGACTATCAACTTCACAGGATTCTTATAAAAAACAGATGAATCAGTAAATTGGCATATAAGCTATCTGTCTGTCTAACTGCTATTATGGCTTATGCACTTTTATGTATTCATTTCAATCTTCAAGATAATCTCAAAAAAAGTGACACCTCAGTTGTCGAGAGGCTCCAACCTCAAACTTTCCACTACACAAACAGCAAAAAAATCTTGGTGTTGGTAAGTTTGCTCAATAGTCAACCAAAAATCCAATTCGAAAAAACCTGGGCCAAGAATGAATCATGCGCTGAGTCTTGCTGCAGATACAAAGGATGACGCTTCATACGGAGCTAGTGTTAATGCGTTACAACAGCTGTCGCTGTGCTTTTTGTCCTTCGTTTGCATGAAAAATCATAACCAAGGCTCAAAAGAAAATTAGTGATACCACAAGTGGAATAAACTGTTAAGAATCATAACAGAATTTTTAAAAATTGTTGCAAATTTTGATAAAGCCCTGGAAAAATGAATTTATAAGTGTAATTCTGGGGCCTTAGAACCAATTATTTGTTTTTTTCATTATTTCTAATGGGAAAAATATATTCAATTTTCAAACATGAATTTGGAACAAATTGAGATTAACAACTGAGTTATCACTGTATTCCTATTTTTTACAGCTGTAGATAAAAAAAGCTCAGGGGAGGTAAGAAACTGCCCCAAAGTCTCATACCTAGTAAATGGCAATGCTGAGGATCCAAAATATATATGCCTGACTGCAGAAGTTCAAGTCCTGTAACTAGGCCAAAAGAATATGGCTTCAATCCTACTCCATATGGAGATGCCTGTAGGTAAGTGACTATGCCAGAACTCAAGTGCTCACCTTGTAGGAAATGTTATAGAATTTTTTAAGGCTGAAGAGACTATCCATAAAAATCACTGATCTCAAAACGATGGCTATTTATATTTTTTTGCTGAAATGATTACCCTTTGTTTCCCATACAGAACTAACTGAACTCACTCATTACTGAAGTTAAGCAACCCTCTGCACTAAAATGACTAAAGATGCAGAGCGATGACAATCTTTTATATGAAAACACAGCATTCCCCTCTAACTGATCACTTCTCAGACTATTTTTACAAAGAGCAAGTCTAAAGAGCCACCACTGTATTAATGGATTCTATAATTTCCCAAGTATTGATTTAGAACTTAGAAAAGCATTTATATTTCAAACAAAAATAACGATTAATATCAAAGGCAAGAAAAAGACCTCCAGGAAAAGACAGTATTACTCCCATAGAGTCTCACTCACAGGTCTGCAGAGTGTCATGTGATCCAACTTGCTCCCCAAGCCTGTGAATGCCACTAGTAACTGATACTGTAACAAAAGTTGGCTCCATGCTGTTAAGTCTCACAGCCCAGCAACCTCTGACTGCACAAACAGGGCAGTCAGACTTCCAAACTCTAAAGAATGAGTTCAAACTTACTATATAACTTCTAAAATTGCAAAAATGCAAATAAGACTTAAAAATTAAAACCACCAATTATAATCTAGTCTGTGTAAGCTATAAATTTCTAAGAAATACATATATTTAGGTTGTTTCCACACTAGCTATACTAAAAGCCAAAATGATCATGATCATCGTTTAGAATTTAATACTGCATAAGATAATACCATTTGATATGCAAGAAATACTATATAGACATCAATATCTTGTTTGGAAGATATATATTTATTATATATTATATAATATATAACACACACACACACACACACACACACACACACACACACACATATATATAATATATATTGGCATTTGGTGTTTTGTTGAAGGAAAAAAAAGTCCATATTTTAGAATAAACCAAATTATGTTTTAGCCAAATTTGGCAATTTAAGCCAAATTATAGCTTATATCTAGATGTCCCCCCAAAGCCTCATGCACTCATAGGTGGAGCTTTTGGGGAGTGACTAGATCATGGGTGTGACACGGAGCTAGTCCACTACGGTTTAGCATAGTTCTGGGTTTGGATGATGGACTTAATGAAGAAGGAAGACCCACTCTGGGTATGGCTGGCACCAACATGACAGCTTGTAGCTTGGATGGAAGAGAAAGGGAAAGCAGAAGGAAGGCTGGCGATCTCTTGCCTGCTTCTGCATGAACTGCTTCTCCTCTACCATTCTGCCCTGAGTTGGAACCAGACAACTAGACTGAAACCTGTACAAACTGTAGCTAAAGTACACCTTTTATCTTCTAACTGTATGTATTGGGTATTCTGTCCCAGCAACAATAAAGTTTAAATACTCAAACACGCTAGATTATAAAAGCAGTCTTTTTTACCATCTATTTTACTGCCCATCAAAGTTGGCAGGAACTTAGAAATGGGTTAGTACTAATGATAGAAGATCAGTGTGTCACCCTCAGGCAGAACACACAGCACTACACTCTTATGAAGCTGCTGTAGCACAAAAACATCAATTTCTACTTTTGCAAAGGGGGAGGGGAACATTCAACGCTTCAGAAATTACCTGTTCATCTTTCTTTCCCCCAAAATGAATTTTTTAAATAATCTGCAAAAATTTTAGTAAAGAAATATGACTAGTTTAAGCTAGTGGTTCTTATGAACCCTTTGGGGGAGGGGTGTGAGGAGGGGGGCAAAAACTCCTTTTGAACATCTGTTGAAGCTGCTCTTCTCTCCAGAAAAGTCCAGCATATCCAAGGTTCACAGACACTTAGAAGACAACTTTTAAGCACACCCACTGATACAAGAATCCAGAGGAGCCATAAAAAATTTCCTACCAGATGTGTCCGACCCATAGCCCACTTTTTGGCCCCCTTCTAAATGTTATAACAAAAACATTACAATGAAGTAAATTTTGTATTTAGGTACATTAAATGCATGCTCTCTCTCTCTATATACACACATATTTATTATTTATTTATTTATTTTGAGACAAGATCCCACTATATAGCCCAGGCTGGCCTCGAATGCATGGCAATTCTCCTGACTCAGCCTCCCAATTGCTGGGATTACAGGTATGCACCACCACACCCAGCCACATTACGTATTTTTATATTTGGCTTAATACAATTCCTCTTCATAATAAATAAATGAATGGAGGGAAGGAAGGAAAGAAAAAGGCAGGGCACACATTGGACACAGCAATACTTAGCTCTCTCCAATTCTGTTTCATAATTCTAGCTCTGACTTACAAGAGTCAACCAGATAATTCATAATCCAACAATGTACTCTTGTAAAAGCAAACCTTAAAATGATGTCAACAGTACTTACATAAGCAGCATTAACTAGATAATTATACCCATGGCATTCTAAAGTATAGCAAGTGACTAGTGTTAACAATTTACGTTACAGTGGATTATGGCATATAAAATGCATACACACACAAATGATTAATCCTTACAATTCTGGGAAGACAGAAGCAAAATGTGTTATTTTTAGCCCTCTTTCATAGCTAAGGAAACAGGTTCAGATAATATCTTGCTGTGGTCACACAGCCAAGGAGTGAGGAAATGGGTTCTAACCCAGAACTGAGCTGAGTGCAGTATTTCATCTGCTTCCTCTAAAAAAGTCCCTCACAATAAAAAAAAATTTTTTTTTTTTTTGGTACCAGGGATCAAACTCAGGACCCTGTGCTTGCAAGGCAGGCACAGAACCACTGAGCTACATTCCCTGCCCTGAAAAAAATCTTTTTTAACAAAAGGATCTACTCAGTCACATTTTATTGTAGACAAAGCTTGATATCAGTAAACGAAAGTTAATGTACAGTACTTAAAATATCTGCTGTTCTCTTGCCTCATTGGTTAACATACAGTTTTTCAGAAAAACTGGCAGGTGCTGGGTTCCCCCGAATTGCCCACCCTGAGGGTGGTGGAGGACTTCCCTTGGAGAGGAGACACCGGTCCAGCTCACATGAGGGGAGGATTGCAGCAGACAGCGCACCCGCAGGTGACTGCCAGTAAGTATTAGCAATGAAATAAAGGGTTATTCTTTCTTTTTTGTGGGGAGGGGCCGGGGATTGAACTCAGGACCTTGTGATTGCAAGGGAAGTGCAGTGCCACTGAGCTAAATCCCCATCCCTAATAAAGTTACTGTACAAAACATTTCTTTCTCATCTTTTCTTAATATACAAAAAGACATTATTCTTTGTTGAGAATTCAAATTTAAGAAGATGAGAGCATAAACACCCAAATGTAAAATATGAACACTATAGTATTTAAAAATTACTACTCAAATATTTCCTTTAAATTTTTTTTAAATTGTGAAGTTGGGGCTCAAATTCAGGGCTTCTGGATTCCTCTACTTCTGGGCTGCACCCTCAGCTATCTTTTTAAGCTTTTTGAAAAGAACGCCCATTTTAGTTCTCTGCAACTCTCAAAAGTTCTTGCTAAAACAAAGTCATTTATTAAACCCACAAACCAACCAACTAGGGTGAACCCTAAAGTAAACTATGACTTCGGGTACTAATACTGTCAGAAGTTCATCAATTGTAACAAATGTACGGCTCTGGGGAGGGGTTCTGACAGTTTCTGCAGGGGCTGAGGGCCTATAGGAAACTGAACCTCGGCTCCATTTTGCTCTGAACTTCTAACTGCTCTAAAAATAAAATCTATTTTTAAAATATGGAGGCGGGGTCAAAATTCATCTACCCACTTGTTTTTCTTCTATTCCCTCAGTGATGCTCAATATTAAATTCAGGGCCTAGCACATGCTAAACACACACCCCACCTCTGAACCTCTACATCCCCAGTCCCCCATCCTCTTCTTAAAGAGAAAAATATTGGTGGCTTTTTTTCCCCCAAAAAAAGTTACCCTTGGATCCTGGCATAGGGGCACATACCTGTAATCCCGGCTACTCAAGAGGCAGGAGAACCACAAATTCAAGGCCAGTCCACACAACTAAGCCGGATCCCATCTCAACATAAAATTTAAAGGGCCGAGATGTAGCTGTAGGGTGGACTCAGGTTTAGCTCGCACAAGACCCTGGGTTCAATCCCAGCACCAAGAGGAAAAAGAGTAGGAAGGAAGAAGCACAGTGCACACAGCTGAATCCGTATCTTGAGACATTTTCTGTACCTGCATTGATACTATCTGGTATCCTGTAGGCAACGAGCAGCGCCGCCAAGTCCTAAGTGGGTCAGGAGTGTGACTGACAAACTCAAGACGTGCGGGCGGAAGTCGGAGCAGCAGCTGATGCTCGAGCGACCTGCCGGGGCGGCAGCACGGGCAGGTGCTGGGCTCACCCTAGGCTGTCAGGCCCGCGGTGCCCACCCACCCTGAGCGTGTTGGGGGACGTCCCCGTGGAGGAGAGGAGCTCGAGTCACGCGGGCCCAGCTCACGCGAGGGGAGGGTCGCAGCGGAGAGCGCGCCCGCAGGTGACTGTCCCCGCTCAGGTCCACGAGCCGCCCCCGAAGTGAAGCCGGCGAGCGGAGGAC